GTTATTATTTGTCTTCCTCCAAGGACGTATCGATGGCAACGTTACGAAGCTCCGTGTCCACCACAAAAAATTTCTCAACAAGTGAAGCCAAATCTCTGCCAATCTCCCCGGTGATTCGGACAAAGATGATGATAACAGGGATTCAAGCCTATCGCCACCTCCAATATCGATGGTGACGAAGTGGCGGAGGTGGTGCCTTATCACAATTTCAAACATTAACTTTCTCTTTTTCCGTCTTTAAACATGTAGCTTAATAAGCTTTCTCTGCAAATCGTATAGGGTAACTCCCTCTTCCACTTCTTTCTTTACAAAAATGAACTCCGTATCTTGAAAAGAAAATATGTTATCAGGAAATGGAGATACTCTCAATTCTTCACTTCATTTCAAGCTTCATATTTGTGTGCTGAAATACACAAACACGCATGCATATATAGATATGAGTTGATGCTTGCTAGTTTGAAGCATTTCGTCCTTCCAATCTGTGTGGCTATGTATGTACTCACACTCGATTTCACTTCGTTCAATTGACTTAGGATGTGTTGGTTCAAATACACGATCCTTGAAATGCAGTATTGAATCGAGATAATATTTGAAGCTTTAAAGCTCTACATGCACAATTTTGGGGCTAAGATTTGATGATTTTGCTACATACTAGTTGTTTTGATCCATGAAAAAGTACCACTTGTTTAAGCAAATCTCCAACAATGGAAAACTCGAGTTTAAGAGTTTAAAGAGAAGAGAAAATGGCGGTAGTGGTGATGAGGTTGGGTTTGGAAGAGAAGGACGCTGGCAAGGAAGCTTGGGGATGATTTTCATAGGGTAGCAATGGAGAGTGGGTTGTGGAAGAGTAAGGGAAGTCTGGTGAAGAATTTGAGCAATGGATTAGAGACAGTGGCATCGCGTCCTCGAAGCCGGAAGACTGAGGAGAGTGATGGTGGTGATGATGTGGTGAATGATGTGAAGAAGACAAATTCCAATGAGAAGAAGCTGAAATGTGTTCAAAAGAAAGAGAAAGCTAAAAGTGTTACAGAGAGTGGTTCTTCTACTCCTAGTAGTAAAACTAGGCCAAGAAAAATCCCTTTACTGCTTCTTATCTATTAATTTTATTTATTTGTTTATTTATTTTACCTTTGCTTTGGTTGATCTGGATCTGAGAATGTTGGTCTCTCTCTCTCTCTCTCCTTGATCTTTTTTTTTTATCAATCTTGCTGGTGAGAGTTTTGATAACGAAGCAGAGTTGTGGATCTCAATCCGAGCGAGGGATCGTTCTTTGAGCCATGTGTTTTATGGATGATCTCAACTTGTAGGGTTGTTTTCTCATGCATTGAGTTGATGATGTTGAGGAAGTGAATTTTTTTTTTTTTTTTTTTTTTGACAATAATAATAATAATTAATGGTCTATCTTTTTTTTTTTTCCCCTTTGTTTTTGTTGTTGTTATTGATGATGATGATGGTGATGAAACAAATTGCAACAGAAAGAGGAAGAACAGATGATAGTCACAAAATTAAACAGATAAAAAAATATATGCTCTATAAATTTCACCAAATAGGAAAAAATTAGCAATTCTAACCAATAAAAATTTTTGAACAGATAAATTTCAACAGATAGATTTTATTTTGACAAATATTTGAACAGATAAGGGAAATTTGAATTGAAAAGATCAAAAAAATTAAATAGATAGGAAAAATTTTGAACATATATGGGAAAAAATTGAATATATAAGGAAAAATTTTGAACAGATAGTCAAAAAAATTCAATAGAAAAATTAAGGGGTAAAATTGGAAATAAAATTTCTTTTTAAAAAAAGCATAAGTATTTCATAAAGGGTGTACCTCTCTCTAACAAAAAATATCCACTTGACCTAATACCTTATACCCTCTTTAGGTTAGGCTTTTTAACAATTATCTTCTCTATTTTTTTATTTTTTTTTGGAGATTTATTAGAAAATCCTTTTTCAAGTATTTGTATCATAATTAGTCCATAAGATATTCTTGTATATATTACCAGTGTTGAGTCTTTCAAAAATAGCCATCCAAAACACAAAATGTTTGAGGGAAACTAAATGATTTTAGACGAATTAACTTGAGCTTTCCTCTGCTTCCAAAGGTTCCAATCGTAATTGATAGAAACATAATTGGTAAAAGAAGCAGGCTAGGTCACCTGTCCCTTACCCGGAAAGGGATAAGGTTAGGAAGGGTAAGATTTTTCAATTCTAACAATTCTCAAGTTTGGGCTGCAAAGTACTTCCAATTCACCCCTAAGAAGATCTCCTCAACTCTAGCTTGAACAGTGAAACCGGACTCAAATGATTTCACCAATTTTTTTTTTAATTAAATGGCCTAAAGAGTGCCAATTTTCAATGTCATCATCATCACCAGTCAAATGTTTAATGCAGGGGTAAGTGACACCTGAGTCCTAACAATTTCCTCCACAACTCTGAGGGATCAAAAGGAATCCTAACTTCCCAAAAGCATTTGCCTTTTAACAAGTAAGATTTCACTCACTGGCACAACATGGACTGATCACCACTAGAAATCAAAAACAAGTTATGCTTAGCCACAACAGCCCTATTCCAAACTTCCATGGATTTGAGGCCCAGCCCCCCTTTCTTCCTAGGGACAAAAAGATTGGTGTAGGTAATTTTGATCTCCATCAAATCTTTCCTAACTTTAGTCTCCACACCAGAAAAAAAAACATATGACTTTTACCAAGGCTAGGAGAGAGGCCAAACAGAGCTTGAAATTTAGTAAGCGCCTCTTTAGTGAGACTAACAAGGTGTCTATCACCCCTGCAAAAAATATCGAATCTTTAACAAAACACTTATTAACAATTCTATTTTTTTTTTTCCCCACCCCTTCAATGGAATTTGAAGCAAGGATTATTGCCCTTATTAGCCAATAATCCAGTACCATCTTCCATAACAATAACAAAAAGGTAAGGACAAAAAGGATCTCTTCGTCTGGGTGACTCCTCAAGCACGATACTAACGTGCATATCATTCATCTAACTTGGATATAGGGGCGAAAGACTAATCGAATCTAGTAGCTGGTTTTCTCCAAAGTTTCCCTCTAGCTCTTTTAAAGTACCCACAAAGACCCCCATTAATGCAAATAGAGAAGGGTTGGTTATACAAGCTTTAATCCAATTAACCATGATAGAGAAAAAAATCCATAACATTGATCACTCTGGCTCTAACATCAGAGCCAGTAACAATGTCTTCTTCTTCATCAAAAGTAGGCGTAACCATACCCGAACATCTAACCATATCGTCGTCCATTATGAATCAAGAAATGGAAGCGAATGAAGCCAAAAAATGAAAATAAATGCCGAAAAAGAAAGAGTACAGTTTGGCGAAGGAGCGCCAAAGACAATTCCTCACCAACCTTCTCCCCATAGGCTTTAACGCTGTGTTTGGTTGGGAGATTTGAGAAAGGATTGGAAAGGGAAAAGAAAAAGTTAGGTGAAATGTGAATAAAATATACTTATATTTCACCTACTTTCGCACACTTTTTTCCTTTTCCTTTTCAAATCCCTCTCCAAATCCCCTAACCAAACATAGCATAACTGTTACCGACAATGGCGATTAGGATGGACAAGAAGTAGCACCTGACTCCCTAGCTAGCCCAAGTAAAAGAAAAACCTAGGATTGGAGTCCTAGAGAGAGAAAGCCATTTCAATATTAGCCTGTAATTATAGATTAGGTGAATCTAAAAATTAAAAAAAAAAACAAAACAAAACAAAACAAAGAATTGTGTTTCAGGTTGAAAACCAAACAAGGGAGATATTTTTTTTTTTTTTTTTCAATATGAATATTTACAGTGTAGAGAAGCCCAATCAAACTAAGAAATGATTCTTTTATTTATTTTTTAATTATTTTTCAATTAGTAGAAGTATTTACAATATAAAAAAGCCCATTTAACTTAAGAAAGAGCTTCATAAATCATGCTCGAAAAGAAGTTAACAACATACCTAAGCCTCATAATATAAGAGAAAAATTATCAATCTTTATAATTTGTAAGGATTGACCCCTGACCTTTCATGGGGAAGTGTGGGGCGAACTGAGCTAGCCTAAATTCATTTGCAAAACTGAATATTGAAGTATAAAAACATAAATTGGTGACGTGGGCATTGCTTGTTCTCATTACATGGCTAATTATTCAAAAAGATTATAAATTATGAATCAAGAAATGGAAGCGAATGAAGCCAAAAAATGAAAAAAAAATGCCGAAAAAGAAAGAGTACAGTTTGGCGAAGGAGCGCCAAAGACAATTCCTCACCAAGCTTCTCCCCAAAGGCTTTAACTGTTGCCGACAGTGGCGATTAGGATGGACAAGAAGTAGCACCTGACTCCCTAGCTAGCCCAAGTAAAAGAAAAACCTAGGATTGGAGTCCTAGAGAGAGAAAGCCATTTCAATATTAGCCTGTAATTATAGATTAGGTGAATCTAAAAATTAAAAAAAAAAACAAAACAAAACAAAACAAAGAATTGTGTTTCAGGTTGAAAACCAAACAAGGGAGATATTTTTTTTTTTTTTTCAATATGAATAGAGAAGCCCAATCAAACTAAAAAATGATTCTTTTATTTATTTTTTAATTATTTTTCAATTAGTAGAAGTATTTACAATATAGAAAAACCCATTTAACCTAAGAAAGAGCTTCATAAATCATACTCGAAAAGAAGTTAGCAACATACCTAAGCCTCATAATATAAGAGAAAAATTATCAATCTTTATAATTTGTAAGGATTGACCCCTGACCTTTCATGGGGAAGTGTGGGGCCAACTAAGCTAGCCTAAATTCATTTGCAAAACTGAATATTGAAGTATAAAACTTTAATCAACATAAATTGGTGACGTGGGCATTGCTTGTTCTCATTACATGGCCAATTATTCAAAAAGATTATAAAAAAAAAAAATGTCTTCCAAACCTAATAATAGACCTTTCAAGTTCAGTGTTTACACAATCTTCATTTTGTTGATTTATGCCATTAATGTTTCAGATTTGGCTATTTATTTACTTGAAAGCAACTGTAGATTAGCATTGTCCAAGTGGCAGGGTGTCCCTCATTTGGAAATATTAGCCCAAATGCCATGTGCTTTTCCTAGCGGAACAAAATTAAACATATGGAAGCGTTTTATCTATCATTGTAAGTCTCTTGGCTATTTCCCCTTCTCTCAATACTAATTTTTATGCAGTCTTTTACACATTTATTAGTTTATTTATCTTCACATAGAAAAACAAAAACAAAATCCGTTTAACTCGTGTAGTTCTACACTTACTAAATTTTGAACCATATTATATTTATCATTTCATTTGGTAGCACCTCATTCGAGATAGACATGAGTGATGACTATATTAATAATGTGTTGAAAAAAGAGACGATAAATGTAAGAGCAAATTATACCCATGGTCCCTACGTTTTACATCTTGTGTCATTTTAGTCTCTACACTTTCAATTTGCTCAATTTTTATCCTTTATTTTAGATTTTGTATTAATTTGGTTCAATTGATAATATCATTTGTGTGTTTGACAAAAAATAATCACTGAATTAGTTAACTCACTGAGTTAAGTAAATTTATAATTTTGCTCTTAAAAATAAGACACATGTCATTTATATGCGTATTTTTCATTAAAAAAAATAGTAATAATTATTATCAATTGAACCAAATTAAGACAAAACTATAAATTTAAGATTTATATTGAACTAATTAAAATTACAGAGATTAAAATTATAAATAGTTAAACTATAAGGACTGTTGTCATAATTTGCCCAATATATAAGGACTGCTGCCGTAATTTACCCAATGTAATAATATGGTATTAAAAATGTGGTAAGTAAAATGTTGGTCCAAACATGTGATCTGTTGTTTAGCCTTGTCCAAACATATGATATGATCTGGTAGGCTGAAGGTTGCGAGTGTGATCCACACCAACCTTCAACTGATGTTGCATCTATGCATCATACAATTGCTGATGTGGCTAGGCTCGTGGGGCCTATCGCTGGATGCTAATATCCATAACATGATCATTTTGGAGTATTGGCTGCCACGTCATGGTGAATATTTGGACAGTTGGACCACATGACGCCAAATGTCTTTTGTAAGGTTCCTGGTTACTGTTGGAAAAACACCCTTTGGTTATATGACGTGGTATTTTTGGGGGCAATATGATAAATTTTATAATGTTAATAATCATTCATCGTGTTAAAATTTGACAAACTCCTATCATTCCAAATTTGGCACAATTGAGAGCATGTTTTTGTATTTATCATGCCAAATTTTAACAGTAGCATGATGGATAAGGTCTGCAGTAGATTTAAAGAAAGTAAAATAATTGTAGAATATTAAAATATACATAATACATTCATCTCATAAATATTTCAAAACATATTAGAGTGTATAAGTTATATTTCGAGAGATTTGATCAAAACTCTCTCATAATAAAATTTTAATGCATTAATAACAAGTATAAATAAATTTATTTGAAAAGTCCAACACATACTACTATTATAAAAATATTAAACTTTAAAATAATATAACTTTTGATCTAGATATTGATTTTTAATAAAATTAGTATTTTTAAAATCCTCTCATCATCTATCAAATAAGATCAATATTGACTATGAAATTCTTAAAAAAAATATTATTGTCAAAATTAATGTAAGTAGTAACATATTACTCTATCTCACTATAACATTTTATTCTTATAATATTGTCTACAAAAAAAAAAAGAATATTTTATTTTGTACTTACTCAATTATGTGTGTCCTCCGTATAGAGTTTATGAAACAAAATAAATTTAACTGTCCTTTGATTTTGGCTAAATTTCTATTACATTTCAAAGAATACAAAATATTATTACTATGAAGACATTCATCGAATAAGTTGTGTTCTGAGGGTAATATGAGTTCAAAGTGTCCACAGGATGTTAAAAATTGTCGAATATTATGAATTTAAAATTTTAATTAAAAAAAGTGTATGGCACGATTTTAGGACTATCCACAAAATGAAATGCCTCAAGTCATAGAAGTGTCCGTTTCTTCTCGAGGGAAAAGACTTTGATCAACACCGTCCACTGGAGAATTTTTATTATATGGTAACCCAAAAAAAAAAAAAAAGGAAAAATCAAAGGAAAAAAAATAGTACAAATAGCCTTTAGATTGTGGTATAATCCCATGCTAAATTACCCGCATTTATATTACTCTTAATTTAGTGAAATGGCATATCTGTTTATTTTGATAAAGCATATAAATTTTAGAATAAATTATATTATTAGTCCATGTAATTTAACAGAAATGTCACTTTAATCTTTATAGTTTTAATTTGAATATCATATATTCAGTTTTATTGTAATGTCGCCCATGGCGCTGTTGGCATTTTGAACGAAAAAGGCCACATGCCAAACTAGAGAGGTCAAAGTAAAATTCAAAAGAAGTTATAGGGACTAGTGGCATAATTTATTCATTACGCCAGTGACCCTTATATTTTCTTTTCAATTTCAGTTTAGTCTCTCTAATTTTGCATGTGCTCTTTTTCCATTCAAAATTGTAACAGTAAATGACGGAAGAACTATATTACAACAAAATTAAAAGTACAATGTTCAAATTAAAACTACGAAGAGCAAAGTGATATTTCACTCAAACTAGAGAACCAACAGTGTAATTTATCCTACATTTCTACATGGAAAGAGGTGTTCACACGTGGAATCATATATTTTTCAGTTGTTCCGGTTCTAAAGGATCCTTTTGACTTCGGAAGTTTACCGAATGCTACTGTGGACACGGAGAACCAACTTCAAAGTTCACAAGCACCAACAACCTGCTCCGGGATTCAAAGTTCAAAAGACTACTTCTTCTCTGGTTTGTCAGAATTGTTTATCTTCTTGTCTGCTTTTACTTATCAGGCTTGCAAGTATATATAAAACTCTACTCACTAACTTGATTCACAGTGAAATATAAAAGTTAAACAACTAACAAATGCTTCTCAACCTACACAGCTTTAGTTTTTATTTTGGATAAATGAGAATTTTAGTTGTTAAAGTATGCGTTCTTTGTCATTTTAATCCTTTAAGTTTTAATTTTGTCATTTTGGTTATCAAAATTGTCAATTTTAGTCAATTTAATTATATCTCTAACATCCATTTACATTAATAACTCTAACATCCATTTACATTAATAACGAGAAAAATATTTTATCCTTGGATAAAAGACTATTTTAGTTCCTAAAGTGAGTTTCTAGTCATTTTAGTACACGAAATTTTAAATTTTGTCATTTATGCTCAACGTTGTCAATTTGAGATATCAAATTGACTCAAATTAATAACTTTGATGACCAAAATAACAAAATTTAAAATTTGAGGGATTGAAACAACAATGAACACATACTTTATAGACTAAAATTATCTTTTACCCATATTTTTATTATTAATACAGACGGACGTTAGACTTATGACCAAATTGACTTAATTGACAAATTTAAATATCAAAATGATAATTTAAAACTTAAGAGATTAAAAAAAAAAAAAAAAAAAACACAAAAAAAAAAAAAAAACACACACATATTTTAGGAATTAAAACCATCTCCTATATTTTAGTTCTTTAGGTTTGTCAATTTGGTGCCTAAAGTGTAAAATGTGATTTTAAATGATCCCACAGTTCACTGTCCACGTTAATTAACTAGAAATATAACAAATGTTTCACTAAACTGAGAATGCTTTGTGTCTTTCATCATATCACTGTTCATTATCGTATTTTCACCACCGGATGTCCTTCGGATGACCACCTCAAGGCCAAATTTTGTGAAAATTTTATACTAGAAGGTCGACCTCCCAATCAACCCCCGAGATAACCCCTCAAGTTGTGAAAATTTTACATTGGCTGGTCGACCGATGGCAGACTATATCAAAGAGAGTTTCTACTCAAATTTGATGAAAAAAGTAATGAACCATTGGAGATGTCCTAACCAATAATTTTTCATTTACCTCACCTCACCTCTATACCTTCTCATTTATCCTGTCTCTCGCTCTCTCTAGCAAATTCAACAATGGTGAGTTTGATACTAGCAATGGTGGGTTTGGGTTTAGGCTTGGGATAACCAGTGATGAATGATTTATCAATTTGAGGAAGAATATAGATCAATAATTGATACAGTGATGAATGATCAGTGAGTATATGTTTGGGTTTGGGTTTAGGATCCAACAATGTAGTCTGTTGGTGGCAATAATTACGGGTTTGGGGTAGTGGTGTGGGTTTAGATTTGGTGTTGATGAAGGGTTTGGCGTGGTGGTGTTGGATCTCCGGCGGTGATGGTGGTTGGGGTAGAGCTAAGGCGGAGAGAGGGGATGTAGGTAGATGGTGATGGATAAGGCAAAGAGAATGGTAAGGAGATGATCCTGTGTAAGCAAGTGTATGTTTTTCCATCAAATTTTCTCTTCTTGAGATATTTATTGAAAGCTAATGTGGCAATCAGTAATTGGTTGTCTGTAAACTTCCATCTTTATGGGACAACCGTGTGTAAGACAACCTCATATATTAATGCAAATAGCATTCCTAAGTCTAACCCATTTAATAAACGAAACTAAAAGGTCAATCCCGCCTAGCCTTATGAGCTATATATAAGTCGCAAACCCTTGAAAAAGCACACTGGAATAGAATGGAATGGGTGACCAACAAGCCGATGATCACACTTACTGTTTAGGGAAGAAATTGATAAAATTAAAATTTTGAAGATTAAAGTGACACAAAATAGATATTTTAGGAACTATATATGCAATTTAGATGGCACATTTGAAACTGGACCAATTTAACTCAAATATGAAAGTTTCAAGACAAACTTGACAAAAAATATAACTTGAAAAACCAAAGTGACATAAAACTCATTTTTAAGAATGATAACAAAACCAAAAACCAAGAACAAAGAACAAAAATTATAAAAACAGATGGCATAACAATTTAAAATCGAAAACAATCATTATTCAATTGAATTTACATGTACCCTTGCTGACAGTTGTATCATGTACAATTAGTATGAACCCCACTATCACCCTAGATCAGTCCTCTAATTCTCAATAGGTTTGGCACTGTCCTCTAATTCTTAATTGGTTTGGATTGCTTATATGTATATATATATATATATATCAGTAAAAGTCAGTTATTAGTTCTTAACTGGTTTGGATTGCTTTCTTTCACAGTTCATCATAAATTACAAGTAACTGATACTCAAAAAATGGTTCAAAATAGCTACTTACAACTAACTGCACACAAGCTTGATTATAAACTTACTTCGTTCTAATTGTAGTGCCACATGTCAAGCACATTCAAGAGATCAAATCAATGCATGATTGCACAAAATTGTTTGTGAGAATGTTTTGCCAGAAACTTCAGAATAGTCCAGAACATTCATCAATCCTTAAAAAGGCCTTTCTATTAGGGGCAAAAAATGGGATTCACGAAATAGTAGAAGAGATCTTAGTGGTAGTTCCGGAAGCAATTTCTTGTGTAGACGAAGAGGAGCATTCTGCTCTCCATCTTGCAGTCATGTACCGTCATGAACATGTTTTCAACTTCATTATTCAACAAATGGGAGTGGGTAAAAAGTTATTGTTGAAAGTCGACAATGAAGGCAACAATATCTTGCACTTGGTTGGACGAATGCCATATCAGCCACAACTTGAAGTTGTTTCTGGTGCAGTTTTACAAATGCAGCATGAAGTGCAATGGTACAAGGTAATACATTCGTTTTGTGTCTAGGCAAAACGTTCTCGAGTTTATATTACATTTTGATTTTTTTTTCCTTGAATTCCCTACAAACAAGAGTTGTTATTTATCGCCTACTATTTGACAAAACAAAATGACAAAATGAGGGAAAAAAAACTATAGGGAAGCTCAAGACATAACAAATAATAAATTATTAATTTTCAGTGAAATAAAGGATATGGAACAAAATTTGTCTAGTTTTTATAGGGATACAAATGAATCGTAGAAGCATGTAATTATTTTGTTTCATTATGTGTCATTTGCTTTTATAGAATTTCGTCAACTATTTTAGCTTTCAGTACCCAGTAATGTTATATGCATAGGAAAGTATAAATACTAGTGCTCCGAATAAATCTGAACATTTTTTGTGCACTTTTTAATGATATTTTTCTGTGCATGCATGATAATTATTTATTGGTTGCACCATGAACTTGCTTTCTCATTCCAAACTAACTTGATGGCGTAGGAAGTAGAAAAGCTTGTGCCGGTGCAGGCAACAACAGCAATGAACCATGAAGGAAAGACACCTATGATGGTATTTGAAGAGGACCATCGCCGTATGATCCAATCTGAACAGCAATGGATTGTAAGCCTAGCAAGTGCATGCACTGTTTCAACAACAATCATTGGCACAATAGCATTTTCGGCAGCCATTCAAGTGCCAGGGGGAAACAGAGGTGATGGCCGCCCAACCTTATATGAGGGAACCGACTTCACAATATTTGCCATATCAAATGCAGTCGCTCTATACTCGGCCATCTCCACATTCTTAATCTTTTTATCCATCTTCACTACACGCTATGCAGCAATTGATTTTCTATATTCCCTGCCCAATAGATTAATAATTGGCCTGATTTCCCTGTTTGTCTCTATAACATCCACTATTATAGCTTTCGGTTCTGCCCTATATCTCATGTTTTTCCTAGAAAGCCAACCTCTGATTCTTACTCCAGTGGTCATAATGTCCTTTGGACTAGTGACTCTGTTTGCTTTCTTGCAATTTCCCCTCCTCCTAAATATGATGAAAACCACATATGGCCCAAGCATGTTCAACCTTTCGGATGGAAGAAATAGTCGAAAAGGCATAAGATTTTGAGCTTCCTTAGATGTACGCCGTATCAAAATTAAAATGCAACATTGCTCATCGATGCCATAGCGAAATACGCAAGATGAATAAAACTCTCATTTCCCCTTGTTCTCCCTCTGTAATATTAAATGTGTGCTTGTGGGCAATAATTGTAAGCACTCCAATTGAGTGATTAGTGAATGTGATTACTGCTTTAGTTTGTTATTGGAGCATTCTTGTACAAGCGTTTTGTTACATTACAGCAATAGCCTCTTATGTGTGCTGAAATCTAACCAATGCCACAACCTTGGCCAATTGACCTGAAGTCATACCACGTACCCAAAATCTTGGACCCACATGGTCTTACTAAAAAAATACATCTCTACAATTGTCCCTGAGTTCTCATTACACTTGAGAACTCTAGAGAAATGTAAATTCTTCAGTTTGACTGAACTCAACCACTTCAAAAACACAGTTGTCTTCATGATTTGCCCCTAACAGAAGTTGTTTTCCTTCATCTTTTGAATTATCATGCCCCTCAACGTGAGCATGTCATGATACCATGCTCCCACTGTGAACATTACTCCAGTCAATGCCCTAATAGGGTATATTATCTCAACTCAAGAACCTAACTCCATTCGTGTCAATTCAACTTGTCTGAATATTGAGCATCCTTACGTTCCTTCGAATGCACTGAAACATGGTATTCGTTACCTCGGTTTTGACTTTTACAGTTTACTTACAAACATCACTTGCTGTCAAGATCTTCTAACCTCGGGTGGACTCTACTCATCTCAGCTCTACTCACCTCGGGTGAGCTCTTCTCATCTTGAATCTGCTTACCTATCAAGTGTTTTATTCTCTGCAACCTTCTTTGCATGTTCTTTGACATCAACATCACCATTACTTTTGTTCCTCACTCTTGGGAACTAGTTCCCCATCGTGACAGTTTTTTTTTTTTGCATCATCGTTGACTTTTTTCTCTTGTTCTTGCTGATCACTTTGCCATCCATCTTTTCTTCGTCTCCCACAAACATCCAAATTGTGTGTGCTAAAATCTGACCACACAACCAAATTTGAGAAGATTACCTCCTCCGGAATATTTGGAAACGTTGTAATTGGTATTTGAGAGATGAATCTGCTGAGAATTCGCAAGATAGAACTGTCAATATCCCGTCCGGCCTAAGACTAAGTCAGTGACTTTCTCTCTAGAGAATACTCGATAGTACAAATGCTAAAAATTATAATCAATTACTAGAACATACGTATCGATAGTACAAATGCTAAAAATTATAATCAATTACTAGAACATACGTATCTCAACCCATAGGGTAGTGCTCTTTATATAGGAGTGATCTGCCTAATCTTAGGATTCATTTTTCATCTAGGACTCCATTTGCTTAGCATATAATTCTTATCTAGAACTCTTTCTAATTAGGTTGGGTTTAATCTACTCAAAAGTCTCATTCTTACTCAACTTAGGAGTTATATCCCTATTGACATTTTACAACCTAAGAGTCATACTCAATACCACAATCTCGGCCAATATTATCACATCACATGGCACCTCGACCTGAGGTCATGCCACATATCCAAGATCCTAGACCCATGCGGTCCTACTCAAAATTGCATCCCCACACCTACGCTAGAAGGCTTCCGCTTTGTTTTTGGGTACAATCTCAATTGCTGAAGTAAATATTTATAATAGTGATATCACAACTCACGCAGTAGTAAATTTTATATGGCAAGGTTAGTGGGAAATAATGATCGTATAAATTTATATTGGCCAATGACACCGCATAATATGATATTACCGTTGCAATCAATATGTGTTCGGATTGTTGGTATCATGGACCAATTTCGAATAACATGTTTGTTTTCAATTTTTTGAAGACATTTTTTAGAAAATTCTAATCTCTTATTTTTCATATTTTTTTGTTTTTACTGAATTTTTTTAATATTTTAAGCAATTTTTTTTTAATTTTTAGACACACCTAACATAAATACACTTAAAAAGTATAATTTTCATGAAAAAAAAAATCTTTAAAAAATTCACCAAATACCAAAAAACCAAAAAAAAAAAAAAAAAAAAAAAAAAAAAAGAAAGAAAGAAAATTTAGTATATTTTTCATATTTTTGTGTATTTATTAATTTTTTTAAATATTTTTTCACAAATATCTTACTTTTTAGATACATCTAAGTAAGGTGTATCTAAAAAAGTTTTAAAAAAAATGCTTAAAATTTTAAAAATATTCACTAAAAACAATAAAATACTAAAAACAAAAAACTCAATTTTAAAAAAACTGAATTCAGAAATTTGAAACCAAAGCTAGTTTTCTTCCTATGCTATGCACAAATTCCGTTTGAAACTTTCTTTATATAAATCTGACATAATTATATAGTGAAAGTATAAAAGTACATTTAAGTAAAAATGAAAAAAAAAATTGTCAAAGAATAAAAACCTATAAAATTAATTTTAAAATATATTTTTAATTCAAAAAGAAGTTAAGAAAAAAATAATAATTTTGGTGAGTAACTGTACAAATTTAAGTAAACACTTCGAAGTATTCAATATCTTTTTAAGATATCCTTTTTTTTTGGTTTTGTTATTTTTATTTATTTTTATTTTTTTTCCAAATTGCTTTAAAAATTAGATGTTGGACACAATTAACTTGAGTTCGCAATATTGTATTAGCAGCATATTCTCTTTTGTAATTGTATTTCGATGATTAGTTATGTAATTCAAAGTGATTAGTATAGATTTTGGAAAATTAAATTCATTTTAACAAAATTTTGATAACTATTCTTGTTTTCAATCATAATAATTTTGAAAAAAAGAAATTTTTTATCCCATAGAATAATTCATGCTCTTAAAGACAACAAAAAGATCCCATTTAAAATGGGATAAAGCTCTAGTAAATGTTGATCCAATAAGGTTGTCTCATTACCTAATTCAGCTGATTTCTTAATTTATCTAGCCTGATTATACATATATTATATCACTTAGAAGATAGTCTCACTTAAAAAATGCCTAAAATTTTCAGTCAAAGACAATCTACTTATTACCTAACACTTAATGCGCTCATTGTTTTAGGTTTAGAAAACTTATTTCACTTCCTATTTCGTTCCGTAATAACACAGAGAATCGTTACCAATCTTTGCTTTTCTCATCAAAACTATCTCACCGTGTCTTGGCTTTTCTCTTGTGTGTTTGGTTCATAAATTTGAGTCTGTTTAGTTTAATTTTAAAATTATAATTTAAATGTGAAGTTGTGTTTTGAGTATTAAAATTTTGAATCATAATTTGAAAATAGAAAATCTATTCGATTATGAGTTTTAAAAATAGCTTTTGGATTATTTGTAATTTTTTTTTTTTTTTTTATTTCATAACAAATTACCCCCTAATTTCTTATGCAAATATAGCATTCAGGGGGCGGGATGTAATTTCCGAAACCTCAGGGGGGTATCTGTAATTTAACCAAACCTGGAGGGGTGTATATGTAATTTGCCCTTAATTTTAAAATTATAATTTAAATGTGAAGTTGTGTTTTGAGTATTAAAATTTTGAATCATAATTTGAAAATAAAAAATCTATTCGATTATGAGTTTTAAAAATAGCTTTTGGATTATTTGTAATTTTTTTTTTTTTTATTGATAGAATGTGAGAGAAGAGAAGAGAGATGAGAGAGAAAAAGTAATTGATTGAACAATAATAATTATAAATAAATAAAAAAAGAGAAGAGAGGAGTATTGAAAGTAATTTTGAGTTGTATTTTAAAAATATGTTTGGTTAATGTTTCATCCAAATAATGATTTAAAAACAGAGTTGAGTTTTAAAAAGTAAGCCAAACGCTACCGTAGATGAAATGTGAATAAAATATAATTATATTTCATCTACATTTCACACACTATTTCCCTTTCATTTTCTAAATCCCCCCAAAATTTATGAGTCAAATACAACCTTACGAAATCCAGTTTCATCTATTGGGAATCCAGTTTCATCTATTGAGGCATGCAAAGGTAAGTCTAGAACACCACTAAATTTTGAAATATAATGTTTATAATTGTGATTAAAATATTTTTTTTACCAATTATATTAGTGTGATAAAAATATTTAATTGAATATTTTAATGTAAAAAGTCAAAATTTTAATTATTTTTAGACTTCGACAGCTTGCATAAATCAAACAGCTTAATTGAATCAACATTTATATTTCAGTACATACCAAACAATTTTTTAAAGGGCGCTCAGGCCAATAGTCTAAAATTAAATTTTCTTTGTCCAAAGGTCTAAGCGTTGATTTTCTTTGTCCAACAAACTCTAGAAAAATGACCAAAATACCCATAATATATGTATATATATATATATATCTACGGTTCTCTCTTAATTCTCATTTCCCAAACACCCTCTCTGTCTCTATCTCTGTCTCTCTCTCTCTCTCCCCAGCGGTCTTATAGTTGTCTTTCCTCCTTGTCTCCAGTGTCGCCATGGCTACAAATCTTAGATCAGCTGCAAATCCTCTTCTTCTACCGCCATCGTTGGTGTTCTGGGCTCATTTCTCTTCTCCACCGGCTGGTTTGTTTACCTAATCTGCCTCCCCCACACAAGTCAACCTTCGCAGATTCGGCTCATCCTCATTGTCCGTTCAATTCTCGATCCTTCTTCACTTCTCGATTCTTTCTCTTCTTCAGCTCGGATGTCGCCTCGCCGCCACGGTGCCTCGCATCAAATCAAATAGCCACTGTGAAGTGGGTTTTAGAGTGAAGCTAGAGATCTAGGGAAGATCTAGCGCCACTATCTTTGCGACTCCAACTCCACCGTCCATTTTAGACCTCCTTACGATGTTGACGGTGCGTACATACATATCCACACACACACATGCTGATATGAATTATATGAACAAATTCACTCTTCCAAAATCCTCATTGTTGTGCCGCCGTAAATCTGGATCTATGGATGATGTTGATGATGTTATTGATGATGAACATATTCACTTTTTGTGTGTATGTGGCGTGATTTGAGTTTTTTTTTTTTTTTTCTTTATTTATTTATTTATTTATTTTTATTTTTTTGTTGCTGATGATTGTTGTTGTTGGTGGTGGTGGTGAACATATAGAACAAACAAATAAGATATGTGTGTTAATTTGAATAGATTTGTGTTGAATTTGAACAAATTATAGATAAAAAATTGAACAGATAAATTTGTACAAATAAAAATAGAACAAGAATTAACGCATATTTCAACAGATAAGAACAAAGAAAAACCCACATAATTTGAATAGATAGGGGAAAATTGAACAAATAAGGAAAAAAATTCAACAGACAGATATAAATTTGAACAAATAGTCAAAAAAAATTGAACATATAAAAAATAATTTGAACAGATAATAAAATAAAAAAAGAAAACATATTAAAAAAAGTCAACAGATAAGTTAAGGGATAAAATTGAAAATAAAATGTCCTTCAAAGTAAACAAAAAAACTTCTCACCAAATTATTTCACAAGGGATGGACTTCTCACCAACAAAAAATATTCACTGTACCTAATGTCTTGTACATTTCTTAATTTAAATTTATACTATTTTTTAAATAAAAAAAAATTAACATTTAATTTTCAATACTTAATTTTTAATTTTTAATTTTCAGTTTTATCAAATACTAGCATAATTGAAGTACTTTGAAATGTGAAATTTCTGTATTGTTTATTTTTTCACATGAGTTGCAAAACGTATATCATAAAATGATATCGTATACAATTTAGAAAGTTTTGACTTCGTTTGGGAAGAAGGGTTGGGTTGAGTTTGGGGCTATTTTAGCCACAAAAAGACAAAATAGACTTTTTAGTCCAATAAGACAAAATATCACATCCATCCCATAATCATTACATTCTTTTTCTCACAAAAAGTCAAAAAAACTAAAAAAACTCTTCCCAAACAAGACTTTTTAATCTCAACTAAAAAAATTAAAAAGTCAAAAAGCCAACCCACTTTCCAAACGAAACCATTACTTGATCCAACGTAAAATGATAATAAGCACCATTGACCACTAACATTTTTCTTTACCCAAAAGTGATTTGGGAAAATAATAGTAATCAGTGTATTTGATTTTAATTTTTTGAATTTAATTTTTTAAAAATTAAGTCTTTTATTTTTCGTATTTTTTTTATTTTTAGTGAATATTTTTTAAATTTTAAGCAATTTTTTTTTACTTTTTTAGATGTACCTTACTTAAATGTATCGAAATAGTAAATTATTTCTGAAAAAAACATTTTAAAAAATTAATAAATACACAAATAATAAAACTGTACTGAATTTTTATATTTTTAGTATTTAGTGAATTTTTTTAAGATTTTTTTCACAAATATTATACTTTTTAAATCTATTTATGTTAGGTATGTCTAAAATTTTTTTAAAAAAAATGATTAAACTATTAAAAATATTCAGTGAAAACAAAAAATATATATATATGGAAAACGAAAAAATACAATTTTCTAAAAAGTGAATTCTAAAAACTGAAAACAAACCGAGCAAATTTTTTTTTTTTTTTAATGACTTTGACAATTGCTTAATCCTAGTTCTGTAAAAACATTCCAAAACCAGAATTTTCTTCTACATGTCCTTAGAAAGAATGAACAAATATATATGGATTTGAATAATTTAGAAACATAACTACAAATTTATAATGACCTGGAAAATTTAAACCTTTTATTATTATAATTGAACCCTAATTGAATTTAAATAATTATAATAAAGCTCACAAGTTTTTGCATTTCTTTTTTAGTATCCTACTGGCTGAGCTTAAATCAACTGTATTGACACTGAGATGAGAATCTACAAGCCTTGGGCATAAACAGTATGCGATTGCAACTTGGATCTGATACACTTATAGAATGTATTACACTTCCATTAAACACTACCTCAGGTAATAGAGAAGTGAGTCAACAATGTCTTACATTATGTGGGGTATATATTGTTCCATAAAAGGAGCAAAAGGCAAAATCAGTTTCAAACAGATGGATGCAAAAGTCAAGTGGAGCATCACAGTACCACCTCTAGATGTTTGGGCCCATTATGATCTATATCCTACAGCCAGACCAAGGATGTAAATGCCTAACGTTTTCTACATTGGACTCCAATGTAGGGTGAGGGCAACTTGATGCTTTTGGGGGGCTAAAACTGGAACTTCAAATACATAACATTAATAGCACAGGGTGCTTTCAGTAATTCTACTTACACTACAAAATTTCTCATTACACTCCATTTCTCGTTACACAATGTACAAAAAATTAAATTTATGATTTTATCTTTCCACAATCAGCATAATACCAATCAAAACCCTCATCCTTGCATTCCAAACCTAACAAACCCTAACTCTACCCCACCCCCCAATCATCACCTCCAGCAGCCACGACCGCCATCTTCGACCACAAACATCTAGCCCTGCATCCACCGGTGACCTCCTCCACACTGCCACCCCCTTACGGTCACTACCTCTGACCATCACGATGACCCCCTCCCCAATGCTCCTCCACACTCCCCAGATTTGACACCTACCCTTCATCGTCGTCACCTCTCACTTCTCCGACCATCACGATCCCGCCCCCCATCGGCTCCTCTCTTTCATCACCTTCCCCCTTTTAGCCCCTCCCTCGTTGCCGATCCTCCTCTCCAACTCCCCAGATTCAACACCTACCCTTCATCGTCGTCACCTCCTACCTCTTCCATCTTCTTTCTACTTCTACCCTGAATCTCTCTCTCTTTTTCTCTCTAGTACGCAATGTTGGTTTTTGGGTATGAACTAGGTCACACAAGGTGGTGGATTGGGAAAGTCTTGGTCGTGCTATTCGGGGGTGCTAGATCATCGGCAGTAGGAGACCTGAATTCAAAACAAACAAACAAAAAAAACTAAACCGTCTACAAATTTTGCTTCCCTAACTAAATTCAAGTTTCATTGTCCCTTTATTCCACTAAATTTAAGCCCCAAAAATTTAAGATTTAAGTCGTCAGATTTAGACCCACCATCAGCCACCTGAAAAGGGTTTCCTTTCTTGATTCGAATTTGGTTCGGAATTTTACAAATAAACAAACTTAATTTGTTTGGACTTTTCTGGCTGAATGCCTAAAAGTTGAACAAATTACTTTGTTCAGCTGAAAAAATACAAATATTTCAAATTTGATCGGCCACATAAGTTAGAAAATTTTAAGTTTATTTCACACTGGAAGTTTGAACAAGGTTTCAAACAAAATTTTGATGGATTATACCTTCTCCTTTTATTATTATTATTATTATTATTATTATTGGCACAAGATTGTCCGGATCAAAGTCCGACTAATTCCCAGTGATGCACAGGCCCTCAACAAAGAGTTTCCCGCAAATGCATTGCAGTTAATTCAAGGGTCTTCCCCCAATGCAATGGCCCCAAGAAATTGTTAGCACCTATGAAGCACCGGTACTCCTAAAATGTTGCCGTACAAGTACCGGGTACGTACCTGGTACAGGTACGCGTACCGGTACGGCTGCACGCGTACCGGGTACGGCCAAAAGGGGTCTGGTACGTCTGGTACATTTGGGTACGGCATGGGTGCGGAGGGGGTACGCCATGGGTACGTTCTGGGGCAAAAAATACTCAAAAACTACATGTATACATACATAGAGAGAGAGAGAGAGATAACCTCGTGCTTTAAACATACCATAAACACATCTATAGAGGGAATCGAGAGAGAGACAGAGGAGATGGAAGAGATCGAACCTAATAGTGTAGAGAGGCGTCGCCTTTGTGTGCTAGGGCAATGAAGGATTCTAGGGTTTTCTCTTCGATCGATCGATCAATCGTCTCTCTCTTTGACCGATCTTCTGCTCACTGTTGATCGATCGTCTTCGTCTCTCTCCTTTCTCTCTCTTCGTCTCTCGATCGCCTCTGTTCTCTTGTTCTCTCTCTTCGTCTGTCGATCGCCTTTGCTCTCTCGCCTCTGCTCCTCTTCGTCTTTGACTCTTCTCAGATATATAATATAATATATATAATATAAGATATATAATATAATTGGTGATACATATAATATATAATAATATAATAAATTTTTATATATAATGTAATTGATCATGTATAATATATAATATAATTGATCATATATAATATATATATAATAAATTTTATAAATTATAATTTTTATCATATATAATAAAAATATATATATTTATTGGCGTACCACAGCCGTACCCGTATCATACTTTTTTGAATTTTGACGTATCGACGTACCCGCACTCGTACCCGTACCGTACTCGTACCCGCACCTGTGCTTCACAGGTTAGCACCAACGAGGTTCCAATTCTTGAACCTTGGAGGGAGCACACCCTAAGACCCAAGGCCTTACCACCAGGCCAACCTCTTGGAGTTAAAATTTTGATGGATTATATATCAAACCACTTTCACATAGATTTCAAACAATTACAAAACTAATTAAATGCTAAATAAACCATTTTTACAACTAAAGAAAAATGAAAGGTTAGCAATGGATATATATTAATTCTATTATATATGTAAAGGGCTAAGTTGGCATTGACACATTTGTGTCACATTATTTTATTCCCAAATTACCCTTCTATAACTAAGAATTGAAGCACAAGTTTTCTGTAACTACCTATTCAATCTATAACAGCCAATTTCAACCTACAATGAAAACTTTAAGCACATCCATGCGAGTGTGCACAACCTCTAGTATAGATATATATATATATATATATATGAGATTACGGAGGGCGTAATGAGATAAAATGATAGGTTTTTTAATTTTGGAAGAGCAGAAATTTAGAAAACTGAGTGCAAGGAGATAACATTGTTGTGTAAGTAGAACTCGAATAGCATAGTTTAGTACACAAATCTGGGATAAAACACCCTTCTTGCATCCTCAACAATCCCCAACAAGTTGAGGGCTCATACAAGTAGGTATATCAGTGAACCAAACAAAGCCTTCCTCCCTGTTTAAGTCTTTGCTAGCTAGCCTATGCCTCTGAGGATCGCCCAAAAAGGATGAGTGCAGTGAGAGCAGGATGGACCATTACTTGAAATTCAGAAAAAGCTACAGGCTTGAATAAACAACATTGTGTTCTGTTTTCCAAGCAAAAACCATGACAGGGCCCTTACATAAAGTGGCCACATTATGCATACATCTATCAAGTACAAGAGACCAATATGGTGACGATTGATTACTGATGAAGGTTCAGGTATGTGGAAAGATTATAAAAACCAGTTTCTCCGTGACAGCAGTAGAAAATTGGCCATTCTAGTTGGATCAGACTATAGGAGTTTCTGTGACAAATAGTGGATACTTTTAGATTAATTATTCTTTGGCAAGAGGAAACATGCATATAGAAACTCTAGCTATTCTGTCATCAAAAACAGAGTGCAAATATTATTTGAACTAGAGCCATAGAATTGGGCTTTAAGCTTCTAAACGTTTGATTACATAAATGATATCTCCCATCAATCACTGCCAATACATGCCCTCACAATTATTCAACTCCCTAATAACTGAAGCCCAGATTTCAAGCATCAAAGAAGCAAATGATTTTAAGTCCATAACTTGAGGACAATCCACTATGCCAGTTTCCTCTACCAAAATGAATATTAGCGTTGAATAAATTGCAGAATCAGGTTCAAACCTTCTGAAAGTCTCAAAACAGAGGGTTTACTATAATACTGAATAACTGATAAACAAAGGCTTTTTTCCTGTCCCATTATCTTACATTATCACCCCCAAATTTGGCAGTAATGCTTGATCATTAGTGTTCTGGTTTCCATCGGCACTAGGAATTTAAATTTTACTTGAATGGTAAAGAATTTACTAATTTCATTTCAAGCTTGCCAGGAACACCAACTCATATTTGGATATTTATGATAGTTCTAACCAAGTGCAAAATGTAAATTACGACCAATTTAATATTGTTAACTATGTTTCTTACAACAGCTTCTAACTTCCACTTCATGTCTAGAGAACAATTAAGGGAATCAAACAATTGTCTCTTATGAATAAATAAAGATGCTATATTGCACAAAAAATGTACATTTGACCATCAAACACATATAAGTCGTGAACTTTCACTATCGAAGCAAAGTATACATAATATAAGTTGCAACTTGCAAGGAAACTTACTATGACTGTCTCTCATCAACTAATCGCAATTGCATCTCAATCAACCGCGCATTGAAGTCCCCATCGCTGACCTTCAACATCTGCGACAGCGAAAGAGACAACCCATTCTCCACCAAGAGCTGGTGCCGAGGTTTTATCTTCCCCTCCAAACTAAATGAAAAATACTGCGGAAACCGCTTTAGCTCTGCCAAATCCCCATTCATCTCCTTCAAGAAATACTCCACTTTCGGCCCAAAATTATTGGAAATACTAAACGTCAACAACCCCGGCGACCTCAACACCATCCTTGACACCTCCTCATACGAAAAACCCAAATCTTGCAAGTAATTCAGCTTGGGCATAAGCGTGTTTTCGACGCTCGAAACCAACAACAGTGTGGTCTGGCAAGTTAATGCGTGCTTCCCCACAAACCCCAAATTTTCTAGGAAACGTAATGCGGGTCTCAATTGGTGATCTACACTGCAAATTAAGAGTCTCGGGCAGCGAATGATCGATTTTTGAATATCGGGGAAAGGGATATTGACGTGGTTCAAGAGGAAGTCGAAAACAGGGTAGAGATCGGAATAGGGATCGCAGGTGAGGAGCTGGGGGTACATGTCGAAGATGCGGCCCAAGACAGAGCGGTCGATGCCCATGGAGAAGAGGCATTTCTCGACTGATTTGAGGGAGTTGAGTGGGGCTGATCGGAAATTAGGGTTCTTGTGGAGGGCTTTGGAGGGATTGACTTTGAGGGCTTGGAGGTAGAGGAGCTTCTCGCGGAAGCGGAGGCCGGAGTCGGAGTTTGGTTGCGGCGGATCGGTGGGGGTGGTGAGTGCGGAGGGAGTTTGGAGAGGAGTGAGGCAGTGGAGGAGGGTTTTGGGATGGGGTTTTGGGGAAGGGTTGAGTGAGGGGAGAAGGGCTAGGGTTTGGGTTTGGGTTTGGGTTTGGGGAGGAAGGAGTTGCAGTGGAATTATCATTTCTTGTTCAATTGATTTGAGGCAGAGATAAAACAGAGAATACGGGCATCGCTTCGTTCCGTTATCAATTCTCGCTTGGCAATATCCAATTGGCATTCCGCTATCACTTCCTGCTTGGCAATATCCAATTGGCAAATTTTTAATAACAATGCATTATGCATGGAATATGGGTATAAGAAATATGGGTATAAGAACAATTGGTAATATCCGTTAAGTTGATTTGGTTTTGAAATCAATTTTAAAAAAGTACTTGATCTATAAATTCAATTGTAAAATTTTTTTGTCCAAAGGTTTATGCTTAAAAAAAAACATTATTCATAAGAACAAACTCATGTAAAATGATCAAATTATCCATGTATATATATGTATGCTATACAGTGAAACTAAATCAAAACTCTCTCTTTTATCTCTCTTCGTCTCAACACAACCGTTCTCTTCATATTCTCTTTCCTTCTCTATATGTCTCTTTCTCTTCGTTACTCTCTTCTACACCGCCACTCTCCTCGTCGGCGACCTCTACCGGTTCGTCTGTGTCCTCAACCTCTCTCTTCCCACTTTCTCTCTCTTTTGCAACTAAGAACTTGGATCTAAGTTCGCTAATGGTGTCTCAAATTTGAGAAAGATTGACACTTGGCATCTCAGATCCAAGTTCGTTTGAGAAACTATAACCAAGGTTGAAATCGTTGACGTTTGAAATCGTCATCGTCGTGGTGCTGTGTAGCTCGATTTTCCGTGCTCCTTTCGGAAGACAAATAAGCCCTACAGTATCGGACTCCCGCAGTTCTGAATTTGATTCAACAAGTGTAATGTGAAATAGATAAATACCAAAGAGTCCCAATTTGACAAATCTTTTTGAAAATCAATTTTGAATCAAATTGCCAAAAATAGACTGCTTTGCCAAATACAGAGTCGCCACCTAAATACTTTTTGGAAAATTTAGGAAACTCATGACTCGTGCCAAAGGCTACGTGTCCGTCATCACCAAGATTGTCTCAGCTCGGGAACTTGGGTACGAGAGGAGAAGGTCATAAATTGAGCACCCCTACTCGCCCGATCAAAGATCGGCCTTTACTAATCATGATGTGAATCTTATTTACATTATATGCTCTTATTCCGATTATTAGGCTAGCATTACTATGTGGTGCGCGCACACAAATATAGACTAATTTTCACGAAAGTTTGAACGTTTTGATTTCATGTTTGTTTTGAAAAAGTATTTTGAATATGTACCACTTAAAAAAGTGATCATATATATACATTAATCAAAATATCCCAATTTCAGGAAATAGCATTCATCCACAGGCATTCAAACAGGCATATCAACTAAGCATTTAGCCTCATTGTAATATGTTTGATATGGCAGTAATCACACTCATGCATTATGCTAAAGCAAAAATGCTTACCTCAAATGTCCGAAGGCGAGTCAAAAGAAAGAAAATAGTTAAAGAAAAAAAATGCCTGATCCTAAATAATGCAATATGGCTAATGCAATACATACAACATGCAATTAATAGGCTCGGCGACTAGCATGGCATGTGAGTTAATCTAAGGCATGTGATAGCGCATGTATTCAAGTAAGGAGTTTGAAATTGACATTCGAGTAATATGATGAGCCGAACTTTTATGCATGCAAAACGAATGGATGCAATTCATGGAAAATGCTAAGGAAAACATGATGCTATATACTATCTATCATAAACAGATAAATAAAAGGGGAGAAAGAATGGGGGTTGGAAGACATACACAAATTATTATATATTTGTCCTCGCGTAGGAGGGTTCGAATATCCGAGTGTCCGAATTAACTACTTATTACAAATCCAAATGAATTAACAAGCTAAATTAACTAATTATTACAAATTCAAATTGATCTAAGTAATAATTACGACATATTATTATGAAAGCATTAAATCAAAGGCACAGGAAGCGAGGAGCCGCACGTATACGAATAAGAATATCCTCTCTAAAACTCTCTGTTTAGTGCCAATTTCTATTCTGTTTCGCAATCAAAAAAATAATATATTTTTACCCCAACTTCTTTTCTGTTCTGCCATGAGAATGGCACTGCCTGTAAAAAGTGGAGTGGCCGGCCAAATAGAAGGGTGGCCGGCCGGCCACTAATTTTTGGTACTGCCCTACTACCACAGAAAAGAAACAGAGCACAAACAGAGTGTTTCCAGGGGATATTTATCATCTCTGCTTTGCCCTATCATGAAACAAATCAAGAGATGAGCAGAATCGGTCCACAAATCATCAATTGTCACAAGGTTATTGTGTGATGATCCATGGCTCGATGGGACAAAGGCTTAATGAATGAAAAGAAAAGACCAACAAGATCTCCTCCCTATCATGGAGTTACCTCAAAGGGAAGTGGTAAACATTGACTCTTAAACCATTATTATCACTAAGAGTATGTAATGATTTAAGACTTAATGGGTTCAATTAACGTCTGACTAAACCCAACTTTATTTTATTATCTTGTTTTATCTCTTTTAACCCATTTATTAGCTCTTTTAATTACCTTGTCATTCTTTAGTCATTTTAGTCCAAAAATGAGAGCTATGTAGTCAAACAAGGAGTTGTTCTTGGCATGAGAGAGATGTAATGCCCTAGTAATGAACCTCTAAAGAGATTAAACTATTTAGCACGGAAGGTCTCTTTCTTATGCTAAAAACAATATATATGGGACTTCAATTCACTATTTTCAATTAGATTATAACAATATACAATATAACAATAAATCAAAGCAAAATAGCAAAATAAGTAAGAAATGATTCACCTTCTAAGGAATGATGAACTCCTTAGTTCACAAACTCCCACTTGATCACCCTCAAGTGTAGGAAGTGTGTTCTCAAATCCTCAATTCGAAATTATGGAATTCATGGAGTTTATGGGAAGTATTGGCTCAAGATTGAAAATGTAGACAATCTTTTCTCTCTAACGCCATTAGATGAAAATGAGACACTCGAGATGCGTGCACACGTGCACGCAAACCGAGGACCGAACCTAAGGCACAAATGCCACTCTAACAAAGCATGGCAAGGTATGAAACATGATATGCAAACATGCAAATTTCAGTACCAAAATATGATGCAAAACAGCCCCGAAACATGGAAACATGGCACCCAATGCATGAAATGAGACCCGAAACTCAAAACTAGGCGCATGGAATGACTTAAAGCTATACAAAGCATGCATTATTTGAATATGAAGCATAAATACAGAATCAAGGAAGTCCCAAAACAAGCATATTTCCAGTTTTAAGCAAGGCCAAAAGGCGAACACAAGTAGGGCTAAGCTAACATGCAAAAATTGCCTCAAAAGAGAGGTAAAGAAGCAAGTTGGCCCCAAAAAATGAAGAGCCCTCCAACAAAGTTGAAGAGGGGCTCAAAAAAAGGTATTTTACAGTTTATGGCCGAGCCCAAAATAGTGCACAAGTAAGCTTAAAATACTATGCAAGAAATAGGCCTAAAAGAAGGTTTAAACACAAAGTGTAAAAAGGGAGCCTCAAACAGAAAAAGACCCTTGATCAAACATGAAGAGGGGGTCAAAATATGACTATTTTCAGTTTGGGTCGGAGCCCAAAAATACAAGCACAAGGGGCTAACAAAACATGCAAAAATAAGGCCAAAAGAGGGATAAAGAGGCACGTGACAAAAGGAAGCCTCAAAAAGTGAGGAGCCCTTCAACAAAGTTGAATAAGGGTTCAAAATAAGATACTTTACAGTTTACAACATGCCTGGAAACAGTTTACAAATAGGCCAAAAATACTATGCAAGAAAGAGGCATACAAGAGGGGTAAAGAAGCAAGTGGTAGCTGGAGCCCTTAAACAGGGAAAGACCCTCAATCAAACATGAAAAAGACCTCAAAACATGACTATTTTAAGTTAGGGTCGGAGCCCAAAAATGTAAGCAAGTAAAGCTTAGATATAGAGCAAAATAAAGCACAAAAGAGGGAAAATGGGACTCACCCTTGTAGCCTATATCTTTGACAACTCTTGAACCAAGGAAAGGTGCTCTTTGCCTCTGGAAATGGCCTCCAAGTTGCTGGTATGGAGTGAGGAGGAGTGGTGCTATGGGTTGTAGTGTAAAAATGGTCCAAGAATAAAGGGTTTTGGAGCTTGGAAGAGAGAGAGAGGGAGGTTGTGTGTATAATGCTTCAAAAAATTTTTTGTGACCTTCAAAACAGAGCTGGAGGGTCTAGTTTTATAGAGGGATAAGTGGAGAAAAATTGGGGGAAAATGAAATTCAAATTTCCCCCAAAATAGGCCTAAAAGAGAGTTAAAGAGGCAAGTGATAGTAGGAGATCTCAAATCGAAGAGATCCCTTCAACAAAGTTGAAGAGGGGCTCAGAATAAGACACTTTGTAGTTTATGACCAGCCACGAAAATAAACACAAGTAGGCCTAAAATAACATTCAAAAATAAGCCTAAAAGAGAGTTAAAGAAGCAAGTGGTAGCTGGGGTTCTCAAACAACAAAAGGTCCTTAATCAAACATGAAAAAGAGCTCAAAATATGACTATTTAAAGTTTGGGTCGGAGCCCAAAAATTCTTGCAAGCAAGGCATAGATATAGAGCAAGATAGGAACAAAAAAGAGGGAAAAGAAACTTACCCTTGAAGACCAATGGACCAGCAGGTCTTGGTCTGAGAAATGGTGCTCTCAAGCTCTGAAAAATAGCTCCAAGTTATTGGAATGGATGGTGGTGGGGTGTATACCAAAAATCGGGGCAAACGGAGGTGGTTAAGCGGTCCCGAGCCGAGGCACACGGCCGTCGGCTCCGAAAAATCAGAAATCGGGCTCCAAATGGAAAAAATGGCCTACGATCACGAAACGTAGCCTACGGCCATTGAGAGATGATCTACGAGACCTCTCCCTCCCTTTGGGAAGAGAAAACAGAGAAAACGGGGCCTGGTTCGCAAATCGAGGCAAGACACGAAAGAGCCCGGAAGTCTGGAGGCAAGGCTCGCAGCCGAGACTCTGATACTTCTGAACGAGTACAATATGCACCATCACTGAGCACTCAATCGGTGACATCTGAGTCTTAAGGTCGGTCAAAAATGGGGTATCTACAGTTGCCCCTCTTTGACAGAACTC